CTGATAGAGGGACCTCATCCAGGTAACAACTTCTGGCGACTTGTTAAACACTTTTCACAGTCGAGCTGGATCAAATATGCTCCGAAAAGAATGCACCTCCTTGGGCTATTTGTCTGCTAAATGGTCACTTCTCCTCTCTGCTATCCTCCCATCCTTTTTTTCCCCAGTCACCCTCCATCAATGTAATGAGCAAATCATGGCCACCAGGGAGAGATGTAGGGAGAAATTGGTCCTATTATGTGTCAGGCCGTGTGAAAAGAGCAGCGGTGTTGTCTGTCAACTCTTAACCGCCAACTGTCCCTGGCTTTAACCTCCCGCCAAACACAAAAGGGTCCCTAGATCTGCTTATTATTTCCCTGTCTTTTAACTAAAAAGTCCATTATGGGAAATGCCAGGACAGCAGTGGCCTTTTCCGCGGCCGGCCAAAACTCAGACAAGAGAACAATGGGCCAAGTCAAGCGCTGATTTGCTCTAACTGCATTTAAGGGGGCTTATCAAGTACAGTAATTATGTGCGGTGGCTGATGGTGATGCTGGGAGGTAGTACAGTGCAGGTATTTGTGTTGTGTTGCATTTGGCAGTTGGTCGCTCTGCATGGAGACAGAGATGACAAAAAAGTCAGATTTGGCTCAGAAGCTGTGTATTTATCGAGCCCTTAGCGGTGGTTGAGTGGATAGCTCTCTCACTTCTGGGTTCGAATCCCGATCGGAACAGGTCCTTTCTGAGTGGAGTTTGCATGTTCTTCTCGGGTCTGCGTAGGTTTCCTTCGGGTGCTCCGGTTTCCCCTACCACTAAAAAAATGCACAATCAGTGTGAACGTACAAATGAGTGAATGGATGGGGTTGATTTGGGGCTTTGATGTGCCAGTGTGTTCGGCGTCTCTCTTCCATCATCACCGTGTGTGGAGAATGGTAAAATATCTGAACTCTGAACATTGTAAAGTGCTTTAAGTAAGTAAGTAAACTTTATTTGTATAGCGCCTTTCACAGACAGGATCATAAAGCGCTTCACATTTAATTTAAAACATGCAGATAAAAACAATACACATACAAGCCAGATTTAAAAACGATATTGATCTTGGTCTGTAAAAATGCGCTATATAAGTAAGGATTACTTTCTTAGCAATACTTACAATGTTCAAAGTGAGAGGAGAATATAGCGGCGTGTCAAATGTTAGCAGCACATCCATACAGTGCATGTTGTACAGTACATTCCGGTATTTACTAGTGTCAAGACCTTTGATCTATATTTAGACCCTATAGGATTTGGCAAACCCGTACTTTGCCAAAAGCGTAACGAGCCAATTTGAACGGTGGCAATCATGGTGCCAAATTCCTATGGGTTTGATGCAGTGACCTACTTGTCGTAACAGAGGCAGATGCTTACTACCGAGTTGTTACGATCGGAGTTCAGGACGAATGAAGGCATCTGAATGGTCCATCAGTGTGGCAGATCTCTGGCATAAGAAAGTCATCTTTATTTACAGACCAAGGTTACCCAAAGTGCTTTACAATAATCAGATGTTTCAGATATTGTTTCATTCTCGGAAGCAACCAACACCCAACATTACACTCACTAATTACATTCATACCTATTGTGCATGTTTCAGTGGTAGGGGAAATCGGAGCACCCGGAGGAAACTGGAGGCCCTGATCTGACCGGAATTCAAACCCAGGATCTTCTTGCTTAGAAGCAAGAGTACTATATCCACTCATATATCCGTGTCACCCATACGGCGTATATAAACTAAAAACACCAGGATCACACAAAGCTATACACCAAAGAGTTCTCTTTTCAAAGTAAATGAAATGGAGCCAAAGGGAGCAAAACTTCTCCATGACCACTTCCCTATTGAGCTACAATATTTTGGATGAATATTTGGGTGTACTGCACTTCGACAATATTATTTATGTTTTTCATTGTGTCTTGTCCACACTATGCTGCTAAACCCTGCTTCCCTCTTTGAGATAATCCATAGAACCAAAAATGTAAGCCTGCCTTTACTGAGAGTACGAAACATAAAAAACAGTTGTTGATAGATGCACTTTATGAATCACACAGTTAACTCCTGGATTTATGCATGTAGTAATAAAAAGTGTCACCAATAATGTTTATTCAAGCACAGCGTGTTTTCTTAGCTCTTAATTTCCACTTCACTTTACTACATCCCAATCCTCACAGTTCACTCTGCATTTATGAGCTGTTGCTATGGCGAAAATGCTCCGTCAGTCATGAGGCTTGCGTTTTTGTGACAGTTGAGGGAAATGTGTGTGTTGAGTTGCTTAGTGAAACATGAAATATGAATAGATTGAGTACTAACCAAACGGAGGTATTCTGAAAGCTTCTCCTTCAATAAGTCATTATCCAACTCCCATGTTGTGCGTCACAGACTGCCCCAAACATCGACGAACTCTGCAGAAGACTGACGAACTGGTAGCGCCATGCGATCTGAACCAATAAAACCCAAAAAACAGTGATATATTGTCGTATTAATTGGCCTGTCTGAACTCTCTCTAATACAGTTGAGAATATGGGAAACGTCAAGGGAGGTCTGCAATGGCGTGTGTGTATAATAGATGTGAGCATTGCAGGAAGCTCTCAGCACAATAGTTCTTGGCAGGAGTGAGTGATATTGGCTCCAAATCGCTTCCCATTCAATGTTTGACTTTACAATCCAGGCCTGTGTATATGTATTTACCTGTGTACTCTATTGCTTCCCACTTGTTTGCATTTCTGACTTAGCCTGGCCTTAGCTATCCGTAAACTCCGGTCAATCATAATTTCCCTGCATGTAACGTCTGGGTCTGGTCCCTGTGTTTGGGATTACATCAGTTGAATTCCATCAGCCTTTGGGATTACATCGGTTGAATTCCATCCAACCAATCAGCGAGCACGGGAGGCGGGTGTTGTAGTGAGATGTGGGTGACGTCAAGAGTTTGCGCCGAAAGTGTTCCGGTCTGGTTCTATCAAGAAATTGAAGCCGGAGCAAGAGGAAGGTTTTGCAAATGTAATCTCTGGCAAAGATTGTGACGCTGCTCCCCACGGGCTCCGTTAGTGGCAAAGGAGAGGGCTAGGCTAAATGCTGAATGCTAACGACTCACTCGGGCACATTACATACGTCACGGTAAACTCAGATCCGATCGTTTCAATCTGCAAAAGGAGTTAATCCCTCCCACCTGTAAACAGAGCTCAATTGAGCAAATCCAGACCTTAGTACGAAATGTAATTTTTACTATGGTGTGGTACAATATTCAAAAATGATATTATATCCAGGTGTTCATCGAAAAGGAACCATTGGGTGGTATAGCACTAAAATGTATTGATGAATACATTCCGGTTTAAGAATGTTTATGAATGTCTATTATTAGCAGAAGAAATGAAATGACTTTCTATAGAATACTTAAAAATGTTTTGAAAGAAAAGTTTTACTCAAGGTTGTCTTTTTTTCTTTTTCATTCATCAGATATACTTGTCTAACGTGTAATTCTTTCCCTTGATAGATACTACTGTTACATTTAATTACATTTAATTAAAAGAGATGACCGATCTAATTTAACTTAAGTTCAGAAAAGAAAAAGAATCAAATTATATCTTCATTTAAAGATGTTTTCTCTCGGAAAACACAAACGTTTGGCTCATGTGGGAGTTAAGCATTACTAAAAAAAGACAAAAAAATATAATAGTACTGTGCGGACATCTTTTTATTCATTGTAATATAAATGGTAGAGTTGGGCAGGAGGCACCAGGAGCTGGAGAGAAGAGGTTATAGATGGCTTTGGAAGTGAGGAGCAGGATTTTGTACTGAATGTGGTTGTCTCAGGACAAGGGTGATGTGGTTGTTTCAGGACAAGGGTGATGTGGTTGTTTCAGCCCCAGGCCCGGACGGCATCCCTCCTCGTGTCCTGAAACTGTGCTCTGAGCAACTTGCCCCTGTTTTAACAGACATTTTTAACCTGTCGCTAAGGAACTGTACTGTGTACTGTGGCTCTCACATCTGTTCTTATGAAGACTTTTTGACCCGCTTCAGTTTGCTTACAGACAGAACAGGAGTGTGGAGGATGCCATCTCCTTTGCTCTGAACTCTGTCTACAGTCACTTGGACACTAGTAAATCTGTCGCGAGAAGGCTTTTAATTGATCATAGCTCTGCTTTTAACTGCCTTGTCCCAGGTAAACTGATTGAAAAGCTCATGTCTCTCGGTTTAAGTGAGACCAGCTGGAGTCAGTGGAAAGTTGTTTACAGCGAGATCAAACAGGAGAATTGCTGCAATCCAGACGAGAAGTGACAAGACTGAACCAGGACTGCAGTAGTAGAATGAGAGTATGTGCCCAAAAATATTTATATACATGTATAAGCATGAATAAAGATTGAACCGAACTGCTTTGAGAACTTGTTTATGGATTTTTAGTTAATGTTTCAAAAGTTCGGGTCCCCCAGCTTTAAAAAGTTAATTTTGATAATTTTTTTAAAACGTGAATCGCAATATGTCACTAAATCGTTGCACAATATGTTAAGAATCAAACATATAATTGTGGCCCAAATATGGCAACACTATCGAATCATCACTTTATTGGTCCTTCCATCCATCCACCCATCTTCTTCCATTTCTGGGTCGGGAGTGGCAGTCACATTCACAGAGCAGTGGTGAGTAGCCTTGATCTTGGGCTTTAGGCAAAGTGGGGTTCAGTGTCTTACCCAAGGACACAATGACAGCAGTGGTAGTAGAATAGAGAAGGTAGTGGAGTGGGTGGAGAAGGTTTCATGGTTCGAACCCACGACCTTCAGGCTCAAAGGCCATCGCTCTACCAACTGAGCCACCGTAGCACCCACATTTTGCCTTGTCCCACCCATACAAATAATACAGGATTTGTGTTTTGTTACAGTGACTGTCCCGTCCAAACCCCGGCCATGCGTTGGTCCTCCTCCATGGGCACAAACTTGTCAGCTTTAACTCCACACGTCTATGACAACGTCCTAAGAAATAATCTAAGTTAGTTTTAGTTATTTGTCTCCGGATTTTGAGATTCTGAGCGTCTGGTAAGTGCTGCTTAAGGTCAGGGTTTTCTCTGTGGTCATACTGGTGGTGGTCTGGGGCTTGCTGGACTGGTTCTTGTTGGACTGGTTCTTGCTGGTCTGGTCTGGTTCCCACAGGAAGAACTCGTGCAGCAGCGTGTTGACGGTGTCGGGGCACTCCATCATGACCATGTGGCTGCCCTCCTCGATCACTTTGAGGAGGGCGAAGAGCAGGATCTGATAGGACAAGAGGACTTTTTATTATCTATTGTAATATTTAAGGTGGTAAGCATCAACTATTGTAATATTTAAGGTGGTAAGCATCATCTATTGTAATATTTAAGGTGGTAAGTATTATCTATTGTAATATTTAAGATGGTAAGTATTATATATTGTAATATTTAAGATGGTAAGTATTATATATTATAATATTTAAGGTGGTAAGTATTATCTATTGTAATATTTAAGGTGGTAAGTATTATCTATTGTAATATTTAAGGTGGTAAGAATTTTCTATTGTAATATTTAAGGTGGTAAGTATTATCTATTGTAATATTCGGGGTGGTAAAAATTTTCTATTGTAATATTTAAGGTGGTAAGTATTATCTATTGTAATATTCAAGGTGGTATGTATTATCTTTTGTAATTTTTAAGGTGGTATGGTTATTGCACTTACAGCTTTCTGACACAGGGGAGTCAATCCTTATGGCAGTTTATGAGTGTATAAACAAAATGAACGAAAAGCTCATTTATATTAGTATTTACAGTGGTGCATTGGCTTCTTTAGAGCAAACTTGTTTACATACTTATTGCTGTGTTGGTGATTTTCTTAATGAACAGTTGGAAATGGCATAGTCCCAAACTCAGCTCACAAAAAGAAATGAAAAACATGACGGCCTTAAAACAAGATTTGCCAATGGGACAACGAGCAGAATGATCTTGTTTTAATAAGATACAAGAAATGTCTCTCTTGGAACAAGAAAATAAAGCAACAGTTCTTGAAATAAGTTTTAACCAAGTCACAACGTGCTCAGACTAAGTTAAAAGCCGCTTGATTCCAATGCAATTGTTAAATGAATGGGGCTAGTGCAGCTAACGCATGTGTTTTTCACGTTTTCCTGCCCAGCCGCCATTTTGAAAAAGCCCACCAAAGGCAACAGTGATGGTACATTAGTTTGAACAGTGGATGTACGCATATACATCTATATATACAGTACATATACACAAATATAAACACACACATACAAATACACATCTAAATTTACAGTACATACACATACACACAAACTTAAACACAAATACGGATACAATACAGTAAAATACTGTATATGAAACAAAATAAATGTGTTTATCATTCAATATCTATATTTAGGTTCTGGAGACGAATTTATTACTATTGTATTCATAATTATTCACTTCATTTTGTATTGAAACAACTTTCACAATCACCAAAAGAGGGTTTCCATGGTAACACAAAGCATTCCATTAGAATCCTGTTACCATGGAAACGGGCCTTAAGTAATGTCATATTTAGATTTCCCAAAACGTTTGCCTATGAGCTGCATTTGGAGTCAGAGTTATTTAGAGAGTCCGTAGAAAGTAGTCAGTTTGTATTTCACAATGGCAGGAACGAACAACAAGGACAGTTCCCTTTATAGAGAGATGCTGCAGGAGATTGAGGACGCCAAGACAGGGCCAGCGCCTCCGAACTACCCAGCATGCAAGATTTACTCCAATATAAAGCGTCTTCTCACATCCTTCCGGGAGAAACTGCAAGCTGAAGACGTCAGTGAGCAGAAGGCCAAGGCCAAGATGGAGGACATGTTTAAGGACCTGATCTGCGTGTCAGCCAATGAGGTCCTCAGGGCGTTAGTGACCAGGAAGAGTCTGTATGAATGTTCCCCTGGTAAGGTTCAGGTGTCGCAGACAGGAGTCAAAGGTTCACTCAGCCACATCTTTAGAATCTTCGTCACAACCACGTCTACAGAAGAGTTCATCGCTCTGGACAGAGTCATAAAACTCCTCTGTACAGAAGTAACTCACATGGTCAACTCTGTGCTGAAGGACAACTGTGGCTTTGAGCGTGTTCTGCTGGTGGGGCAGAAGGACTACTCCACACCACGGAGAACTCTGTGCCACATTGCTGCTAATGCACCAATGTTCCTGCCCCACATGACCTTCTCTGACCAGTGGGAAAAACTTCTAGAGGCCGAGATTTCCAAAGGTCTCACAGAAAGAGAACTGAAAAGTGGGGTGCTGGACTCTGAGAACAAAGAGACTGAACAGGAGAGAGTGATGTCCGAGTTCAGCGAGAGAAACCCTTCTCCCGGTCAACTTCATGTCTCTGCAGAACCTCTTATGGAGCAGATAGAAGTAAAGCAGGAGAAAGGTGACATTCTTTCACTTGGAGAACTCATGCTCCAGTTTGATTCCCTTGGTGCCCCCCACGATGAGACTGAAACTCAGCTTAAAACTGAGCAGACCTCGTCTTGTGAACCAGTAAAGAACCAGGAACCATCTCCTCAGAGCTGCTTGAACCAGGAACCAGCTCCTCAGAGCTGCTTGAACCAGGAACCAGCTCCTCAGAGCTCTTTGACTAAAGGTGGCCCAAAGATGCGAAAGAAGCAGAAACCAGCCAAGGATCTGCAGGGTGGGCTTGAAAAGCCAAAGACCCCGATCGAAAGCTTTTCCACAAGCGAACGAGGAAACTCTCCCTCGATAGCGCCTGCACAGGTGAGTTTATCCAACACCGAGACTCAGCAGGTGGAATCCATCAGAAACACCCCACCCTCTGATGAATGAGAGAGATCTCCTCCCATAAAAATCAGATATAACTTACCTTCTGATGAACGAGAGAGGTCTACTCCCATAGCCGTCAGATACAGCTTACCTTCTGATGCCCCCTTCATGCCTCTGCACCTGATCCCAGACCAGGGCTCGACTAAGACCATGAAGAACCATGAGATCTCCTCGCAGTGGGACACCATTTACATCTACAATTTAGCGTGGGAGGTTTCCCGACATATTCTCCAGGAAAAACACCTGTCTGTGGAACATCCTCTGATGAGGAAGCTGTATCAGAAACTAGGAACAAATGTGGGAATGGAATGTGAAGGAGAGCCCGAAGCACACCAAAAAAATAGCTTGTGACATTTACAGAGACCTGTGCTCAAAGAAAAAGAAGAAATGGATTAAGTTTTCTGCACTGGTCAAAGAAGATGAAAGCGACAACATCATCACAGATATCCACAACCATCTGGTTGGACCAAAGAAGAGAGGCCTTCTTCCACTCCATCCGCCATGCTCTGTGCAGATACTGTTAAGCTCCACTCACACTTCTGCAGGCCACTTCTGGACACACTTCAATCATCACATTTTGTGGCTAAAGTATCCTCAATACTTTTGCAGCAAAGTAATTGACATCTATTAACTTCTTCTAAAACCTCAAACCTGCTTCTTCTCAGCCTCAAACGATCTGGATTTGATTCAGAGAAACAGATGAAGGGTGAATGAAGATGTTAGGAAATTCAACTTTTTTCTGAAAAGTACTTTTACTTTTTAGAAAATTCAGCCCTTTTCGGCATCTTTGGTGAACGTTGAATTCACACAAAAAATTGAAACGTCTTTGGAAAACGATTCTTGAATGAAGTGGAAACAGACTAAACTGCAGAAGTTTAGGCAAAGAGAGACTTAATGGCACTTTCTATACATGTCCTTCAAGCAGAACATGGTGAGACTTGATTTTATGCTTCCGTTGTTTCATTATAATTGCATTGCTGGAAGGTTTCCTGGAGTGAGGCATATTGTTTGGTGCTTATTATCCAAGAGTGTACAAAAGTTAGGTTATTTGTTCTGAAATTAGATGCACTTTGTATTCCCACAAGGGTTTATTTAGGAACAACTTTCTCTCTTAGTAACTGAATTAGTTTTATGCAAATCCCATAAGTGGTCTAGTGGCTGCTAGAAATTATAATGAGACTGCGTTGTCATTTTTACAAGGTGAAAAAAAATGCTTTCTGCTTGTAACTCCCTAAGCTACCACCAGAGGCAGGAATTTCATTTTTATATATATTTTTTTCCCAATTTATGTATCTGCAATACTTTTTTATCAGACAGAAAACTGTCTGAGCGTGATGTCATAGTGGTGCAATGACATCATACTGTCAGACATACAGGACTGTATTTCAATATATGCAAGAGCCTGGGTTAGACTCTAGCGTTTCCATTCAGTTTATTTTGTATAGCCCAAAATCTTGGAGGTCTTAACAAAGTTGTTAATTCACCAACACAGATCAGAGAATCAAACACAATAAATGAAATATTGATGCAGGTGGCACATCGGCCAAGAAAAACTCTCAAACCCCAGTAGGAGAAAAGTGAGAAACCACTGAGAATTTGTTCTGTGGTAACCCTTTGCAGAAAAGGTTTTGCATATCTGGAGTTTCAACAAAGATCCACCCAGAATCCATGTTAAGTATAGAACAGCTTTCAACACCTTTTTGTGATAAGAAATAAAAATCTCTATATACAGAAATAGAAGACACAACAGTCACTGCATTCATATAGGCAAAGAAAATGCTTCCAACTCTGTCTCATTTCATCTTTGAGCTAAACCTTTGGAGCTGTGCATTTGTCATAAAAATAAATAAATCATTCAAATAATATCTCTTTTACTCTGAGGGTTTTGATTTGATACATATGCCATTTAGTCTACTATCAAGGGGCTGTGTGTATCATTGCAGATGATCAAATTCAGATGTTGAAATATGTATGAGTACCACTGTATCTGGCAGTTTTGTGTCCTGCAAACTGAAATGCATCTACCAGACTATCACTCTGCCATTATCTCTTTGCAGATTGCATAAAAGTGCTAACAATTACGAACCAGTTGTGCATTTTGGCTAAATGAACCACAACACCTGAAATGACATGCCCGAGTGCCCATGCGTTTTGATCAATTGATTGACTTTGGACTATAGCAATTTATTTTTTGAAATCCAGTGGTTATTTGCAGTGAATCTCCTGCTCATTTAAGTGCAATTTTTTCTTCAGTTGCCAAACTCCATCTTTTCATTCATCGATTTAGCCTGGCTTTCTGTGGCGGAATTCTGAACCTTGGCTCTGACTGAAGCCAACTCAGAAAGCGAGTTGAATTTTCCGATGTAGACATATAAAAGAAAACAAAAGGCAAGATTTATAAATGTCTTTTGGATGAGAGTCAAAACATTCAATTCAATGTATCTTGTCCATTCATCCATGTTCTACCCCTTAACCCATTTATGGGTCAGGGGGGTGGCAGTCAGAGATGCTCTCAAGTCACAGAGCACCAGCCCCTCAATGATCCTCCTGCAGGTGGTGAGTCCACAGGAGCAATGTATCTTGTATGACATTGTATCTTGTGTATCATAACAGTAGTTTTCTCAGAGGACTGTACAAAGTCGTTGATTCACCAACAATCAGAGAATCAAACATTTTAAACTCAGAACTAGTAAGTGTGTAAGTAAGTTATCTTTGTCTAAATGGCGCCTTTCACAGACCAGACTCACAAAAGGCTTTACAATTGTGTGTGTATTTTTTTTTGCATTTGTCTCTTGCCATGTTTTTAGTGGTAGGGGAAACCAGAGCATCAGGAGGACCCATACGCAGACAAGGGGAGAACACGCAAACTCCATTCAGAAAGGTCTGTTCTGACTGGGATTCGAACCAAGGACCTTTTTACAGAGAAGCGAAAGTGCTATCCACTCAGCTGTGCCACCCAAAATAAAAAACAGTGGGGAAAAAAAATGGAACCACAGGGATACCGACAAACTATCAATCATAATTCATACAGTGATTCATTCTAACCTAAAGTTATTCTCAAGCAATTAGAAACAAACAATAAAACACTATATCTGAAAAGGTAGTCCAGATTTTGCCTCTGATATCTTTTTGCAACTGCATTAAACCAAAAACGTTATTACTACCTCCATGTCATAATTTCATTGTCATAAGAGGAATAGGGATGCAGCGTGACATCCGCTGTCATAAATGCCATTCTTTATCACACCAGAGCTGTGACTCCATAAGAGCTCAGCCCATTGTCGTAAATAGACCACTGAGTAACTTCGCACATGTCTCCAACGCACCCTTACTCTATATGCAAAGCAGAGCCATCCGCCGCGTTAAAGAAGCTGCTGCCAAGTGATTATATTTGTAATTTAATTTCCTTAGTTACACAGCGATAAGACGAGTTGGCAAGGGAAGAATAGAGTGATGAGAATAGGCCCATTGCTCTATTGTCTGAGATGTCCGAGACCACTCCACTTACAGAGAGGACGCTGACAGGATATAGGGATTCAAAAGTTCAAATAGTGAGATGAGTACTTTTTTTGCCTTTTTGACCCCTGCTGGTGGTGACGGATACATATCATCCTTCTGTCAGCCAATTACAGAGAAGAGCTATAGTCTCTCAAGCTTTGCTCACATATAAATACAACTGCTACAAATAGTTGCCCTATTTCAGCCGCTGCATCTGCCACTGTACACGCCTATGCCCAAGTCAGGTTTCTCTCAAAAATATTGTCTAGGTTTTTAGTTTGATCAACATTGAAAACAGTTTTAAAGAATGGAAAAATTAAGCAGCTGGTGATTCATATTTAAAAGGTGTGTTGTAAAGGTTTTGAGTTGTAGGGCCTTTGTGGGTTTGTATCTTTTTTATTTGCGTCCATTTTTGTAAGTAGTACTATTTTGATTTAAAACATAAACATATACAACATGAAATTATAAACAAGTAAATTATAAACATTTATTCATAGAGATTGACTCTGATATTTCATGTTTTTTTTAATGAAACATCCAAAACACATTTAAAAACACAAAAACAAAATTTTGAACAATACAATACACTACAAAAATACATTGTGTTAAAAATAAAATACACATAATAAATACAAATAAACTATTCGAAAAAGGTTTAGACAAAGCAAAACACACACACACACAAGACATTGGCCCAAACACTCTCTGACCATTATGACCGTACACGTGCTCCGTGGTGAAGGCATCATACCGCCACATAACGCTTCCTTTTTGAGTACCGCTTAATATATCAACGGATTTGAATGTTTCATTGGATTAATCTTTGAAGTTAATGGGTTAATACTGACCTCCTTGATTTTAAGCTAGTTCTAAATGTAGATACATATATGCTGTCCCTGGTACCAGGCTAATGACTAATTGATTTGAGTTATAATTCCTCTCATTTCGGGGTTAAAATGTCTATATTGGCAATCTGATTAAAGGTTATAAGTAAGAATTGTGATTTTTTTTTATCCATTCCCTTTTCTATTTTTATGCAATGCTCTCTTATGGGCTGTAAATAGTGCATATGTTAGTGTCATTGATAATAAGGAAGCAGAAGGAGATAGTTTGATATATTATTTTTTTATGCTATGCTATTACCATTTGTCATTCAAGCGTTGTTTGGCTTAAGACATCACCGCAGCGAAGATCCATCTACCGGCGTTCCCGAGCGGCTGACAGGATCCTATGCTTTTAAGTCAATATAAGCGAAAGAAAGTGGCTCACGATAGGATAGGATCAGATTTTGTGCCGAGCCCCCGATTCCGTGTTTTTGACATTTAAATTCTTCAACACCGAATCTCTAGACAACACAAAGAAGCAGTCTGGCATCCTCTATATGTATGTACGTACTGTATAGTTGATGCGTGAAAACAAATGGTTGTTTTTGTTCGTAGGTTATCATAGCACAAGAGTCAGAACTAAACATGAGAAGGCAGCATTTTCAAGATTCATGCAGCTAA